CCCACTCAGATTTTGGCTTCTAAATAAATAGTCCATTCACTCTTAAGATGAAAGAACAAGGCTCCCTAGAGAAATGATTGAGAAGAGGGAGTGTCTCATTCAAAAAACAGAAGCTACTGCTCAAAACATGATGGTTACATGCTAAAAGTCACAGGATAGGTCTAAAGAGATGGCTCAGTGAAGAGCATGCAGTTTGAGGCACCCATGCCTGAGGTCTTGAGGATTTGCACTCAAACACACTCTCCAGATGTACATATAATTTAAAATATTTTAAAAAGGCACAGGGTGCTTAGCTGGTTTTGTTATTGATAACTCCCAATTACTTTGTTGTTGAGATTAATCCACGGAGTCTATTTAGTGATCAAAGGAATTTATTTGGGGGTTAACTCACAAGACAGAAGAGAGGAATTTCTTGCAGGATCCTGGAAGGGTGAGGCATGATCCAGTGCAGTTCTCTGGCTAGCTCTGCCCTAGTCCATACCACATCCAAAACCACAAGGTAGCAAAGCCAAGAGAGTGCCATACCTGGTGGGCACGCCCTAGGGTCATACACCTTAAGGTCCTAGGCAGGTGTACCAGCAGTGCTTTGGGGCATGGCTCAAACAACCACCCACTACACTTTGTATTCGTGTTAAGAGAACAAATGAGGGGCTTGAGAGATGACTCAAAGGTTAAGAGCATCAGCTGCTCTTCCAGAGGTCCTGAGTTCAATTCCCAGCAACCACTTGGTGGCTCACAACCATCCGTAATGAGATCTGGTGCCCTCTTCTGGCCTGCAGGCATTCACGCAGGCAGAACACTATACATAATAAATAAACCTTAAAAAAAAAAAAAAGAACAAATGAATATCCTAGCATTTATAAATAGATTGAAACACTTCTTTTAGTTGAACCCAGATGTTAAGTTTGTTGTGTTCAACTCGATTAATATGGCACTAGTTTGTAGGTAAATTTAGAATTTTTTTTTCTGGGAACTTAAGTGGAAGAAGATAGAATATCCTAGGCAGAAAACCAGGTTGTTATTGTTGTTGGTACATGCCTTTAATCCCAGCGTTTAGGAGGCAGAGGTAGGTGGAACTCATGAGTTTGAGGCTAGCCTAGTCTTCTGAGTGAGTAGAACAAAAAATAGCTCAGACAGAGAAATACAAAGAGTATTTGTAATCACGTGGATGACCAAACTATTCAAAAATTGTAGATTGAGGGGGGTACATAAAGGTACTAATATTAACTCTTTTCTACAGAATTTGAAAATTGAGTATAAGGAGAGAAGGTTGTGGTTGGTTTGTAAAATTGACTTGGGATTGATTCAGAAGGATTGTTTTACATTCAAAGCGAGTCTGAACTTGGTTAGTTCCAGACCAGCCTGGGCTTTAGAGGTAAACCCTGTGTACAGTAAATAAACACTCCAGGAGGTAAAAGCAGGATCTTTTGAGTTCAAGAACAGCTTGGATATAACAACTTACAGGTCAGGCTACATAATTAAACCCTACCTTATTTATTTAGGTTTTTAGAGACAGGGTTTCTCTATGTAGTTTTTGGTGCCTGTCCTGGAACTCATATTCTGTAGACCAGGCTGGCCTCAAACTCACAGAGATCCACCTGGCTCTGCCTCCCGAGTGCTGGGATTAAAGGCCTGTGCCACCGCTGCTTGGCTATTTTAATTTTTAAAAACGACAGACTTTTTACTATGAAAGCTCAGCCAATAGCTTAGGCTTGTTACTAACTAGGTCTTAGAACTTTAACCCATTTTTCTCAATCTACTTTTTGTCTTGTGACTTTATTATCTTTACTCTGTACTGCCCATGCTGCTTCCTCTTTTGTCTGGCTGGCCACTCCCTTCCCAGTGTTCTCTGCCCCGAAAATTCATGCCTAGCTATTGGCTGTTTAGCTCTTTATTAAACTAATCATAATGACATCTTCACACAGTGTAAAGGAATATTCCACATTTAATGTCTTTTTAAATAACATTTTTTGTTCTTAATGTTTTTGTTTGTTTGCTTTTGAGGCAGGATCTCACTAGTCATGGCCCTGGCTGTCTTGGAACTTGCTACGTAGACCAGGCTGGCCTTGAACCTACAGAGCTCCTCCTGCCCCTGCCTCATGAGTTCTGGGATTATTTCAAAATGGACACAGAAAACAAATATCATTCACCTTAAGTAGAAGTTCAACGAAGCAGTATTACAAACCGTCTAAAATGAACTATAATGTATATAATACAGTACTGTAAAAATTTGGTAGCCATCTGTTGGGAGTCAGAATTATGTAGGGCTTATATATGGATTTAGCTCAGTGATAGGAAACCAAGGCTTTTTTTCCCCCAGTCTCTAGCACCGAAAGGAACAGGGAATATACTCACTGAGTAATGGTAGGAATAGGATCCTCCACCTCTGTCCTCATTTCATTGCTCAAGGGTCAGCTTTATACAATTTATATGTTCCCAATGACTCCAAATATTAAAATGTTCTCCTTTGCATATGTTAATTTCTATTTAAAATTCCACGAATGCCTCTGACATCATATTTATAGGAATCTCACATAAGCCTCCAAATTTGACAGATTTTTAAAAATACGTACTTTGGCTTTATCCTTTAATTGGATCCTATATTTGGAAAAGTTTTGTACTTTTCTCTATAGTAGAGAAATGTGAGAAAAGAAACAGTAAATAATTAACAGTGTAAGAACCCCAGTGACTTGTCTGTTTAGAATCTTTATTGGCTGCTTGATTTCTCATATGCTTTCCTGGCATAGTGATAATAAATTTACAGTAGTATTGGTTTGAATGGTCACTTAGAAAAAATTTATAGAAATTGGAGTTTCCTTTTGTGAGACAGGGTCTTACTATGTAGCAGTGGCTGAAGTACATTCATAGAAAAAAATGAAAATAAATTGCACTCGTTTCTATTGTGTATGTGTAGGTGATCTAGATAATTATGTTTATTTTGTTTGATTGTAGTTTCAAATTGGTATATAAAAATCTCTTAAAAAAAAAAAAAAACAGTTGTAACGGGGCAGTGGTGGTGCACTCCTATAATCCCAGCCATTGGGAGGCAGAGATAGGTGGAGCTCTGAGTTCAAGGCCAGCTTGGTCTACAGAGTGAGTTCCAGGACAGCCAGGGCTACATAGAGAAACTCTGTCTTGAAAAAAATCAAAAAAAAAGAAAGAAAAATGGTTGTACTGAATTCATATTTTTTCCCTTAGTTCAACCAAGATAAGCTTATCATTGCTTATATTAAAATAAGTCATGTGAGATTCAGAGACCAAAGATAACAGCTCTAAAAGAAACCATTTTTTTCTGATACTAGAAATAATTTTGGAGTGATGAGTATGATCTCCATCAGTAGATAACAGTTCCTTTACTGATATCTTCTCTTTGATCAGATTATTATAGTTCTATTCCCTTGTTAGTCCTCCAAGGAGAAGGAAATTTTTGTCATTATCTTTGGTATCAATAAAATTGACTTGGGTCATCTTTTTTTTTTTTTTTGGTGGTGGTGGTGGTGAGGTATTAAGACAGGTCTTGCTGTGTACTTAGGCTGGCCTCATATTGTTACCCTTTGCCTAAATCATGCCTGGATATGTAGTTTGTTGCTTCTCCAGATATCTGCCCAGGGGCTTGAAGGCCATAAACATACAGCTAAATTCAAACACATATAATACAACATTTAATATCTTGCTAATAGCTGGTCCTGGTGATACACACCTTTTATTCCATAACCCTGGAGGTTCAAGGCCCGCCTGGTTTGCATAGTGAATTCCAGGACATCCAGGGATACACAGAGGCCTTGTCCCCCTGCTTCCCTACCAAAAATTAGAATGACTTTGATTGTATCTTTGATTTTGTGGGGAGAGTATAGTATATAATTCTCAGCCTCTGTATATTTATTTGCAGTAAACTTATAGCTTTAGATCTGTATACTTAGTTTCTTCTAGTTTTGGGGGGGGTATTTTTGTACCCTAATGAGTCCTATTTAAACAGATTATGCTTAATACATAAAGTAGTGAGAAGATCAAGTTCTATAGTGCAAAATAATCTTTTTTTTTGTCTTTGTGTATGCATAAGAAAAGTACTATCTTGTTTTTGTGATGGTTCATTCCTTTTTCTGAATAGTTGGGCTACATTTCTATTTTCAGGGACTAATTCTCAGGATGAATACTATAATTTTGTATTATAAGCTATGTATTGTCTTACTCATTTAGATGTAAAGCATTCATTGAAAAGCACTGCAAAGATGGTTCTCACTGCCCTCTCTGTCACTGTGGTTTAGGCATATACATGCCCTTGTAAGATGTCAAACAAAGTAAGCATAAAACAAGTTTTACAGAAATTGGAACAAATGATGATTGTGTTAACAAATGGGATGTGAATTGGCATTTTGGCCTATGGACTTTGGTGTGGTTTAAGGGTCAGGACTACTTTTCTAGATATTTAAAAATGTTCTGTTGAGGAGACTTGAGCATTCTGCTGAGGAGTAGGCTGTCCAGTAAGTACTTGGGTAATAATAATGAAGTGAGAAATAATATTTAATATGCAGATTTTTGTATATATTTGCTATTTATAAACACTGAATATTGTTAGTTTTACATAGTAATTGGCTTTTAGTGTGTGTGTATCTGTCTGTATACACATGTGCTTACATATGTGTCTCACTAATGTGTGGAGGCCAAATAACAAACAACATCCTTCTACCATGTAGGTCTCAGAGATTGGACTTGAGTCAGTAGGCTGGGCAGGAAGTCATCCTGCCAGCCCAACAATTGATTTTTCATAATCAGTATGTACATAATCTAGATAATGCTTAAAAATTATTTGAAATTTCGGTACCTTGTGCTGCGTAGAGCTGTACTATTGTCAGTCAGCCCTACCTTTATTCCAGCAGTAATCAGTAGATTTTTCAGATGTAAGTAACAAAAGCATAGCATTATAAGGAATAGAAGTAGAGCTTTACACTGCATTCATTGAAGCTTGATGTGTAAAATAATTTTTTTCCTCTTTCTTATAGAAATGGAATCTATATGGAATTTGCAGAAGCAAGGTAAGAATGGTTAACTATTTTGAAATGTTTGTACTAATTAAAACATGACTTTGTTTTAGTGAGAATAATTGGAATCATGGCCTACCAAATGAACAGGCTTTGTATTTTGTATAGCCTTAACAATAATTATAGTCAAAAGGCAGTAGTTACATAACAAGACTGCTAAGACATTGTGGCTCACTTGTGATTCCAGCTCTTTGAAGGCTGAGGCTTTAAGTTCAAGGCTATTCTGGGCTGCAGTGTAAGACACGGTTGCAGGAAAAATGGAAAAACTCTACTTATTGAAATGGCTTTTCTACTGGTGTGATTACAAGAGGCTAAGAGTTTTTTGAGACAGAATTTCTCTATGTAGCCCTGGCTGCCCTCAACTTTATAGACCATGCTGGCCTTGATCTGCCTGCCTCTGCCTTCTGAGTGGTGGGATTAAAGGTGTGCACCACCACATCCAACAGAGGCTGCTTTTTACTCAGTGGCAGAGCTCATGATCTATATATATATGTATATATATATATATGGCCTTGGGTATGACCCCCATTACAGCCCTTCCTAGTGCCTTCCTGTCCCTTCCAAGTATAAATGATTCTAACTGAGGAAACCAATATACATGTTTTTATCTTTAGCCATTCTGCCTGTGTTTGTATGGTAGACAAAGGGATGATAATGATTGCTTAAGAATTGAAATTCAGGGGCTGGAGAGATGGCTCAGTGGTTAAGATCACTGACTGCTCTTTCAGAGAACCCAGGTTCAATTTCCAGCACCCACATGGCAGCTCACAACAGTCTGTAACTCCAGTTCCAGATCTGACATTCTCACACAGACATACATGCAGGCAAAACACCATAAACAAATAATTTTAAAAAATTGAAATGCATAATTTAATGAAAATTTTCAATGTTAACGAAACATTATCTATACTGTGTGTTCGGAAATATAAACAATAGCAAATTCACTTTTATCCTTCAACCATAATCAAGATTTGACAAGGAGGACAGGGACTGGGTGTACAATCTATGCATTTATAGTTTGACTGGAAAAGTGCTCACTGATGTTAGATTTGGATATTTAGAATCCTGTAAAAGGGGTTGAAGAGCTGGCTCAGCGATTAAGAGCACTGGTGCCTCACAACCATCTGTAGTGAGATCTGATGCCCTCTTCTGGCATAAGGTCAATAGGACACTAAATAAATAAATCTAAAAAAATTGTAATAGAATTATGTCTCATTTACTTCACTAGTTAATGTAAATGAAATTCAGGTAGCTCTGAAATCCCTAACTATCTGATGAATGTCCTTAGATTCTCTTTGACTCTACATGTTAGGAAGTTTCAGCTCACAGACAGCTAGGGAGTGACAGGAAATCTTGGTTTCTAACGTTTTTTCTATCTCCCTTGTTTTCTTTTTGAGATTATATTATAATTACATCATTTTCCCCATTCCTCCCTCCAAACCTTCCTTTATACCTCCTTGATTGCTTTCAAAATCGTGGTCTCAGCCAGGTGGCGGTGACGCATGCCTTTAATCCTAGCACTCAGAGAGCCAGGCGGATCTCTGAGTTCGAGGCCACCCTGGTCTACAGAGCGAGATCCAAGACAGACACCAAAACTACACAGAGAAACTCTGTCTGGGGGGGGGGGGGGGGGGGAATATATCGTGGTCTCTTTTCATTATTTGTTGTGCATGCATGTGTGAATAAATATACACACACACACACATATTCCTAAACACATAAATAACAACCTGCTCAGTTTGTATGATGTTACTCGTATGATGTTTTGGGTTTTTTTGTTGTTGTTTTTTAAGATTTATTTATTTATTATGTATACAGCATGTATGACTGCAGGCCAGAAGAGGGCACCAGATCTCATTACAGGTGGTTGTCAGCCACCATGTGGTTGCTGGGAATTGAACTCAGGACCTCTGGAAGAGCAGCCAGTGCTCTTAACTTCTGAGCCTTCTCTCCAGCCCCCTCATAATGATGTTTTAAGGGCCGACTATTTGATATTGGATAATCAGTTGGTGTGCTCTCTCCTAGGGAAGACTGTTTCTCAGCACTAAAGTGTTTTTTTGTTTGTTTGGGATTTTTGATTTTTCGCAACCGTTTATCTGTGTAGTTTTGGTACCTGTCCTGGATCTCGCTCTGTAGACCAGGCTGGCCTCAAACTCACAGAGATCCACCTGACTCTGTCTCCCGAGTGCTGGGATTAAAGGCGTGTATCACCACCACCCAGCCTCAAGTGTTTTTTAGTTGTTTGTAGTTCTTTGTGTAGGATTGAGGCTCCTGGGCTTTCCTTGTTTGCTTTAGCATGTCTGTTGTTGTCCTTGTTGAGCTCATGTTTAGGCAGTTAGGCTGGTGAGACTATGCGTGTAGCTTCTGACATTGCCAGGAGACAGTCTCTCAGCAAACTCCTGATCCTCTAGCATGTAATAATCTTTCCTCTCCATCTTCTGCAATGTTCCCTGATTTTAGGTATAGAATTGTTTTGTAGATGCATCCATTGGGACTGGGCTCTACAACTCTGCATTTTGATCGGTTGTAGTTTCTTTAATGGTCTCCATCTATTGCTTGATGTGATGTTAGGTGAGGATTATACTTCACCTGTCAGTATAAAAACAAATATTATTTATAGTGTAGTTAGGGTTATGGTGGATTAGTAAAGTAGTGGTTGTAGGTTCTCATCCCAGATCCATGATTTTACTAGCCATAGGTAATTGGCTAGGTTTCTAGTACCAGGAATGATTTCCTTAATTGAGTGGATCTTAAATCTCATTAGAGACTTGTTGGTTACTGGCAAGGTATGCATGCCAGTACTGCTTCCTGGGGGTTATCTGGTTGTAGTTTATAGGCATCATAGCTGCTCTCCCTTGTTTCTTACAGTGGCCAAAGATCAAGTCTTATTATTTAACACAGCCATTGCCTAATGATAATTGGCAAACACTTAAGAATTGCTTTCCTTATACATTTCAAATCAAATCAAACAAAAATGGAAAAAATAGACTAGAAAATGGTCTTCTCAAAATAGAACCACCTAATTGTATTATAAAATGGCTGTTGGCTATGGACATGAATATTTGTCTTCAGGACAGGTTGCCTTTGGAGTTCTAGAAAGGATATTTTTTATATTATCTCCTTGTTAATAGGGTAATTCTTTTTTGCGTGGGTGGGTTCCCCAAGACAGGGTTTTTCTGTGTAGCCCTGGCTGTCCTCAAACTAAAGTGTATGCCACCCCTGCCCAGTTTAAGCTAGGTTAATTCTTTGCGGGGGAAGCTCAAGACATAGTCTCTCTCAGCAGCCTTGGCTGTCCTAGAGCTCTATAGACGAGGCTGGTTGCTTCTGCCTCCTGAGTGCTGGAATTAAAGGCATGTGCCACCACCGCCCAGCTGATAGGTTAATTTTTTTAACCTGAGAAAAACTTAATATTATTGTCAGCCCTCTACCATTATATTAAATAATTAAAGATTTGCATGCCCTACTTGGGGGAGATTGGAGATTGGAGAACCCAGGACCTTGAACATGCTAGGAAAGTACTATGCTACTGAGCTATATCCCTAAATCCTAGTTTTTTTGGTTACTAAAGCATACTAACTTCCATGCACTTGGATGCTGAAGCAAAAGGATCATGAATTCTTGGCCAACCTGGGCTGAATTGGAAGAGTCCCAGCAGTTCTTGGAAATGGTATAGAACAAAAAATATTGTCTCCATTGAGTATAGGTAGTATCATGTACCTTTAATATCCCAACAGAGTCAGGCCAATCTAATCTCTTGAGATCAAGGCCAGCCAGGCTATAATAATAAAATAGTTAGATGGTTTAGCAGGTAAAGGTGTCTGCTGCCAAGCCTGGCATTGTGAGTTTAACCCCAGAACCCATATAAATAAAGGTGGACAGGAAAGAGAACTAACTCCAAAAAGTTGTCCTCTGCCCTTTGTATGTGCCACAGCATACCCATGAACATATATAAACATATAAGTGTGTAAATATAGAACAAATCTTAATGATATCTCTTGAGGAGAAGGGGGCAAAAATCATTAAAAGAATTTAGAGTGACATTAAAAAAAAATTACCTTGTAGTCTTTATCCAGGGATGTTTTGACAGTTTCATGTTTGCTGAGAATGAAGAGGGGGATAATAATATGGTGGGAAATAAGGAGCAAATAAGTTATTAGAACTAAACTGATTATTGTGTTATCGTGGATTAATATAAAATATTCGCTAGGTTTTACTTGAGCCATTTCTTGGTGCACATCCTACTCTGGTTAAAATAAATTTAGACTTCAAGCTGGGGCATGATGGCACATGGAGCAGCTGGGATGAAGGAGGTAGAAGGATCCAGGAGTTCAAGATCAGCTATATAGCAATTTCAGAGACCAGCCTGGATAGCATGAGACCTTGTCTTAAAAGCAAGCAAAAAAGACTTCCTTTGCTAAAAACAACAAAATAAACCCACGAAAAAGTTCTAGTAGTATTAAATTATTTGACTTAAACTTCCTTCTCCTTGCTTTCACATTTGCTGCTTTTATAATCAGGTGAATCATAAGGAGAACTCCTTATTAAATGAACTTAACTACTGTTAGTCTTTAGGAGGTGAAGCCCTTACTAGTTGGTAGAAGACAATGTTGGGACTTTGTTGGTAGTATTGAACAGCTCCATTTTGAATTGAGAAATTAGATCACACTTGGAAAGAAATTGCCTTTAAATTTTATTTTAATCAGACATGTAGCAGCTTAAATGGTGATTGTTTGGGATTTGTCTCTGGGTTAATTCTAGGGTTTTATTTTGATTTTTAATTAATTGACTTTTTTTTCTTTTTTTTCATTTTGCCTCTAGATCCCAAAAGGATAATCACTTACAATGAAGCCATGGATAGTCCAGATCAATGAAGGACCAGACTGCCTGTTTGTAACCTTTCTGCAGCATTAGAGCCACTGTTCATGGGGGACACAAGGCTTTTATGCTCCTAGATCTTCAACGCAGCAGAGGAACCATAAGTAGAATCACAGGATAATATATACAAATATATATATATACATATATATATATATATAGTTATTTAAAAAAAAGGCAACTGAAAGTAATTAGACTTCTTAAGGAATCAAATTTATTTCAAGAGACTACACATGGTTATTTAATCTCCGGTACTGAATAGTCTTTTTCTTTTATTTTGTTAGTTTTTGTTTTTAAGTGTGAATGCAAGTGATTAATGAATACAGACTTAACAAGCGTGGTTCTAAAGTTCCTGCTGTCATCGACTTGGGCAACAAATGACCCACTGGAAAAAAGGCAAATCCACTTACTAGACATCTGTATCTTGTTCTGTGACTAAAGTGATACACTAATCACGGGGAACCCAGAATGATGCAACACTTTCCCCTACTCCGCCCTTGATCTTTTAGTTTTATTTTGAGCCCTGTGAGAATGCTGGATAAATGCCTTGAAGTTTGCAGGGATGGTTTTTTGTTGTTGTTGTTGTTTTTTGTTTTTTGTTTTTTTTTTAATCCGATGATTTGCATGTCTTGCCAGGAGTTGTGCAGCCTCTGTGGGGTGTTGGGAATAGTTCCTTCCTTTCCTTTTATTTTTTGTGGGGTGGGGACAGGGGGAGGGCATTGAAGTTCCTGGAATAGTTTGTGGGTACATAGTTAACTTACTTTGGTTACATGTTTGACTTTTAACAGCTGACGAATCCAAGAATGTCACTTAATGAAAAGTTGCAGAACAAGTAATTGGCTGATAAATTATCCATTATAATTGTGTAACTGGGAGCAAAAATATATTCTGCTTTTCGCTGTAGGTGCTCAGACTTGCTCTCCGTCACTAACACTAAATGTGTACTCTTGTTTTTCATCAAACATCTAAGAGAAACTTATGTATCTTTCTGTAAATTCTTTTAATTTCAGTTTCTCATCAAAATCTAAAAAGGAAAAGTTCATGAAAAAAATGTTTGTTTTTAGCCAGTGAGGAGGTAATAAACACTGCTTGTAGAAGGTGTGTTTTCATGCAAATTCTACTTCTGAGCTTACTAGCTTCTAATTATATGGTAATATATTTTATTATTAGAGCAAGATGGATTTTTTAAGGAAAATAATGTGAAAATCTGAAAATTTTGTTTTGGGCAGAAAAAAGCATTAGCCCTGTCTTATCATCGCATTACCATCCTGTTGCGCTGCAGCTTGTGTATAGCATGCTAAAATTGTGTGTGTGTGTGTGTGTGTGTGTGTGTGTGTGTGTGTGTGTGTGTGTGTGTGTGTGTGTAAACTAAGGGTCCAATTTAAGACTGGGTGATGTTAGTGGCATAATAACAAGTTCTCTGGCCTGATGCATCACATCACACACATACACATACAGAGAAATTAGTGTATCCATGTATGTCAAATACAAGTTAAAATAGCAGGGCATTTATATGTATAGAGTTGCAGTCTTCTAACAAAGGCAGACTGGATCTCCGGACACATTTGGGGAGAAAGTACTTTTTACTCTATTTGTTTTGTAAGAAATGTCCAGTTTTGAGTGATTGTAGTATGGATGGATTTTCTGGTTTTGTTAATTATTTCAGGTTTTTAACAAATAGTTCACGAAAGAAGCTATTTGATTTACCGCAGAGGAAAATACTTTTTAGTCTGGATTTCTGCCCTGCTTAGATTTTTAAAAAAGTATAAGCATGGATTGCCAATTCCACTTGATGTAAACAAAACTTTTTATACATAATATATATAATAACTTATTGTATCAGTCCAGGTTCAGAAACTTGTGGTAGGCCAGTTTCAGATAGTTTCATTTCACCTGTAAACTGTATCACTTTTACTGATATTGTAATTTTCAAATGTATAATATGTTTACAGATGTGCCCTGCATTTAGTGCTTTGTTCCTAGTTTGATTTTTTTGTTGAGTCTCCTGCCTGCTTGCCAAAAGCTAGGATGCTTCAGGCCCCGTGTACAAGTCAAAGGGAGGCATCCTTGAGCTTTAAAGCATTGAACAAACTGGAAAATGCAACACGCCACATACTGAACTGAAAAAAGTCTTGTGTTTTGTGTTTCTTTCTTTCTTTTTTTTTTTTTTAATAAAAATTTTCAAAAGTTAAAAAAAAAAGTTGATTAAAGAAAAAAGAGGCTCCAGTTTGTTTTATAGGTTTTAAAGTTCTGCTGTGTGTTTAATTGCCTTGTGTAACCACTTGTCGCCTTAGGGCCAAATTCTTACCCCAGTCATTTTTTAAATGTCCATTTTGCTTGCCTGGAATTTTAAAGTTCTTGGGTTGCACAAATCACAAAAAACTTGCTTGGTTTGTGGCATACAAGGTTGAACATAATCAAAATGGAAAGAAAAATCCAGTTTCCTGAATTGGGCTTTTAAACATAGAAGTAATGCTTAGTACCTTTAAAAGCCTTCTCTTTCATAATTCCCTTTCCATGTCCTTCACACCTGTTCAGAGAAGCTAAAGAGAATGTATCTCTTCTCTGTTTGTCCAAAGGTTGAGAGTCTCACTTTTAAATGAAACAATACATTTCACTTTGATTGCTCCACTGAAATTTTCTTGGTTGATATGGTTAAGAGGTATATATGTCTCTCAACTTTCTGGGATCCCTAGTGGCCCATCAGATTAACTGTCAGTATTTTTTGGACATTGGGTTAATGGACTTAATTGCCTCAGTACAAGCAGGACTTTGGGACAAATCTCCTTTGTGCTGTTGGATACTTGTCTCTATTTCTCCTTAGGTCCTCACACAATTCCTTACAGAGCACTTATTAAAAAAAGTCTTACGAGTTCATCTGTTTTCTGATTATTTTTGTGTAAGCTTCTAAAGAAACATCAGCTGTGATTAATTTAGCACATTTAAATAACAGTATGTTGTTGGCATAAAGAATTTTTCTTCAACTCAGAGTATTAGTACTGTAGCATAAACCAAATACAGTCTAGAGGGGATTTTTAACATCCCTCCATTTAAAAGACTGAAAAAGATGTGTGTGTATGGATGTATGTATGTTGGGGTGCTTGTGTGTGAGGGAAAGATGAAGATACTAAGAATTAGTAAATGAATGTGTAAGACATTATATTAGTATTCAGAGAATGAAACTTGTATTTATTTTGTGCCATTTGTTTTCATTACATGGAATAAAGTTGGGTGGTTTAAATCCTTAAAGGGTAGTACTAGAGAAAATGGCACTAAGGATGAAATCATGACCTATTTTTTTAATAGCTAAGAAACTAATTATGGGTAATGATTTCTTTTTCAGTTTGTCTTGATTGTAGGTTTTGCGTCACATACCACTCACTTTTGTGTAAAATGTCTTGAATAATCTCCCTTCCCCACAAAAGACAGGGTGTATTTATCTTTTCTCTATTCACCCCCACTTCAACAACCTGAAGTTAATTGAATAGTGTTTCCTCTAACCTTAGTAATGAACTTTCACATCAATAAAGTGTGTTTATGGTGTCTATAGTAGCCTGCCCTTTTCTACTTTCTAGGAGGGGATAGCCAATATCTAGAGACTTGTTAGTGACAACTTTTTGCTGTCCTCCATCTACTTCCTAGTTACCACTCAGAGTCTGCACAAATTTCATAAATGAAAAAAAGTGTTTTTGGTTTGTTTTTTTTTATGACAGTTTTTAAAGAAAATAAACCCCAATTGATGAAGTAGTTTATTCACACAATAGGAGGACACAGCAGCAGCAGTTTCACACTTGGTGATTAGACTTGTTGCCAGCTCTCACCAAAAGTTTTGTTTTGTTTGTTTTATAAACTTTAAGGTCAGAGAAAGGGTATGTAATGTGAACTACCAGATGGCTACAGGCAAGGAAATTTAAGACTTGGCTCAATTTAAAAGTCTGTCAAATGTGGTATGTGAGGGTGTCTCTCAGTCACTTCGTGTTCAAATAGCTAAGGGTTTGATGCCGCTTCCACTTGACCATATCTTCAAAGGACACAATTCCTCTTACGTTAACCAGCTGAAGAACTAGTACAATGTAGTGAGTGGGTCAAATACATGAAATGGACAGTAGCCTGTTGATGTATGCCTGCCAGGGTAGACTTTGATAGGACTGTCTAACCATTGGAAAGGGTGGGATATGCTTATCTTCCCCATCCCCCAGTAGTTTGGAAAGGAAGCACAGAACCAGAGTAGAAGCATGAGTAGCTGCTTAAAGATGGCCAGAAGAACACAGGCTAACAGTTCTGAAAACGAGTGTTTAGAAACACTTAGATATGTTAGAAGCAAGGCTGTTCTGTGTTGGTGTAAAGAATGATAAATCAACTCTACTCAAGTGCTGATTTACTGAGTTTTAAGAAAGAAAGGCCTTGAAGAACTATAGGATGCCAGCAGTAGTTTGAGAGTTTTAAGCTCTATGGTAAAATGTTCAACAAAGCATCAGTAGTTTGTTACTTTTGTATTACAAGGACTATCAAACAGCAGTTAGGAACTGGAAACCTAACAGACACCTGAGCTGTAGTGGGATTGCTGGTTCAGACATTTCCTATTCAGAAAATATTGTTCTGTCCAGAGTTCTGAAGCCATTTTACATCGTTGTGGTGTCTGGTTTTTAACAGCCTTATTATAAAAGCTACAAATGTTTACCCGCTAGTTCACTTTTGCTTTCACTGTATATCAGTTGTTATCTACAGACCAAACCAACTTAGATCAACATTACAATAGCTTTCCATATATGCCCCCTTTTCCTCAGGTGCTAAACAAAGGCTCCAAAATGAATACTGCTTTAGTGACATCTGTTTTATTCTTAAAATGCACATTTCTTTTGCTAATTGTAAAGATTTGGTGTTAACAAAGTGGTTTTAATATGTAAATATGAACGATACCTTAAGTTCTATTTGTCTATTAAGTCTTTGCATTTATCTTTTGTAGATAATTTTTCACAATCTTGAATACATTTCATTAGGTATTATTGCATCTTTAGAATGAAAACAACTGTTTTGTCTTAGATAACGCCTGCTGCTGCTGCTATGGGAAACTGAAAATCAAGAATGTGATGCACTTTTTAACATTACTATATACCATAGGTTACTTTAATATCTTTTCTCTGTAGCACAGCCACTAACAAAAGTGAACAGAGTGTATAATTCTCTTCAGGAGTGAGTCAGTAGTCTGTAGTTTGTATTGACCTATGAAGGGGACAGTAACTTAGGAATAAACTTTTGGTTAATATTATACTTTTTGGCCTTAAAGTGTCTTCTACTACTGAAAATAGTTTAAATCTTAGCTTTGTTTCTATTACTCTCTCTCTGCTTTAAAAAGAATTAGGATGAATTAAAGGAAGTAAGTTTTTTTAAATCAGTAAGCTGGCTTTTTTTTTTTTAATTTGTATCAGAGAAGTAATGCTGCCCTGAACCAGTCATATTTAGTTTAACAAAGCTCCCAACTATTCTGCTTCTCTAGTATATATTTTACTTAACAAAGGTAAACAAAGTATAAGAATGCTACTTGACAAAGGAAAAATCTTCTCAAGCACATACTAAAAACATGAAGGAGAAAAAACCCAAAATGTGTAGGAGAGGAACACCAAATGAGGTGGAGGAATATGAGAAAGATGTGTGGTCCAAAGCTATCTGGTTATATTTTGATGTTGCCAATATTACAGAGCCAAAATTTTAATTTGCTTACTTAATATATTTGTTGGCCAGAGATCTATTTTTATATCAGTGTGCCTTGCATGTATATTAACTTTTGGAAAGGCCATGTAGTAATGCCTGAGATGCTGATGGTTCTTACCACCTCACTGATTTTTACGCAGTTGAAATGCTCATTCTATTGCCCAACTGGTGCTCTCTGTTTAAAGTCATAGATCTTGTCAAACTGGAACTCTTTTATAAACTGGGGAAGTGACTTGCTTTTTCACTAGTTTGTCCTCACAGACCTCCCTCCCTCTCTCCCTCCCTCTCTCTCTCCCTCCTTCCCTCTCCCTCCCTCCCTCCCTCCCTCCCTCCCTCTCTCTCTCTCTCTCTTTCCCTCCCTCTCTCTCTCTCTCTCTCTCTCTCTCTCTCTCTCTCTCCCCCTCCCTCCCTCCCCCCCTCCCTCTCTCTCTCTCTCCTTCTCCTCTTTCTTTCTCTTTCTCTTTTTTCCCAGTCTGTTAGTGGCTGGTCTGTAGTGGGAAATAGTAAAAAGGATTCTTCACTACCTACCCCACCCCCGACACCACCTTCAAGTAATGTGATGACACCATTTCTTTGTGCGCTTTGAAAAAAGTTTCAGCTTGCTGTCTCCTTTAGTGTTATGAAAGGTGTTATTAAAAGCATTGTTTGCAAAATACAGGAAGATGATGGGAGTCCACATTTAATTGGGGATTCTTTGTGAGCTTTGGTCCAAATTATTGGCTCTTTCCAACAAAATTTTTTATTGTTAAAGCACCTTGCTTAGAAAATTTTAAATATTCATGTCTGCAACAATTGTCTCTAATAAACTGTGCAATTCTTGTCATTAAAAAAACAAAAAACAAAAACAGATCTGAACTCCCTAATGTGACTTGTTAGTTTCTGTATTTCCTGCCAGTGTAAATGTGAAAAGCTTTGCTTGCATTACGTTTTAGAAATGCATTTTGCACACTCAGTTTTGCCGAAGCTCCGTGAAAAGGTTAGATCTAAGTAGATGAATAAAGCTATGCACATGTTTTGAAAGTTTAATTTGTGTGTCATTACCAAAAGTCATTATTTTGCTGTTCTTAGCTTTACCATCTTTGGAAACATGGTTCAAAGTTACAATTCTGGGCTAGCTCATCAGTGGAAGTACAAGGGAGGAAAACTGGCACCCGGTGAATAAAGTTCCGTTGAAATGAGAGCTTGACTTGTTATCTATTAAAGAGCTTTTCTTGAAATAGGGCATTTGTATCAGCTTTATAAACCATGGATCTAATGCTCTTCTCAGTGAGGGTTTGAATATGAAAAGAAAGGGAAAGTCAGTCATTTAAGCTGAAATGAAGGAAAGACCTTTGCTCTGTCACAGACCAAAGCTCTGTGACAATGTTATAAGTCTTAAAGCTGGTTTAAAGATAGGGTGACCCCCCCCTTTTAAATCTTTATTGCTTTAACATGAATTTGATTAGCTGGATGATTTGATACCAAAATCATTCAGTTGTTTAAAAGTCAAAACACATGTTTTTTTTTTTAAAAAAAAAATCCCAAGCTGATAACAAGTTCAGGAGTTGGGCACATTGGGTTCATTCACTGCAGTTGCATGTACTAAGTAGTTTCACATAACATGAAGTGTGCACTTAATAAGGTTGTATAGATGCGCTGGCCAGATCTTGTCATTCATCTTTTAACAGATAACTTCTGTAAATTTTCTTAGGACATTTGTAGGAGAAGTTGGGTAGAAGATAACTAACAATGGCATTTTCCCCAGGCTCCTAGATATGAGATTTCATTTTACAGCTTTGTCTATATCTAAAAGAGGATTTACTTCTCTTTCATTTTGGTGTGTGTTATCGACTTTAAAAATAAAGCAGAAATTCTGTTCATAGTGGAAGTTAACGACTAGTAAAATATTCAAAATGTGGTCTATAATGCATAGCCTTACAAACACAGGTAGTAGCAAACAGCATGGATGGCTTCCAGTACTCTTGAGCATCTACCAGTAGTTCATTTATGTCCAGTCTTAGAGCACACTGGTAGCTGGGTTTTATGGTGCACACCTGTAATCCTGGCAACCAGAAGGCTGAAGCAGGAGGATTGTGAGTTCAAAGCTAGACTGGCCTGCATAGCAACAACATAGCAAATGTATTGGAGAAGTAATCTCTGTATTGTGTGCACAGACATTTACTTAGGAGCTGGGTTGCCTTTAATTTTGGGAGGGAATACTTAGTGAATTACAGTTATGTTAGATGTTGGCCCTTTTCCCTCTGGAAATTTTTTCAGTATTTGTTTTGCCCAGTTTAAAAAATAATAAAAGTAGGTATTTTCTAGATAGAAGAACAGTGACCAGAAATTTACCGTTTTGCTAAGTAACTAACTGCTTAGGTATTTACTAAAGCTGTTGCTGATGTTATGGATTCCAAGGAAGTATCAGTTACATGATGATCTTCCTTTATCAATGTCTTACTTAATGTTCAGTGTTTTAAAAATACAAAATTACACTCTACAACCATACTCAGATTTACTTATTTTATCAGAAAAACTTGAGAGATTTGTAGATCAAATAAGACAATAAGTGTACATTGTTGAATAAAAAACATTTCAAGTTTTTGAGGTGTTTGTGTTATTTTTTTGTGTGTGCTTTAATTTTTTTTAATTCTTTACTGAAAACTTGGAATTGTGACATTGACTATTTTCCAAAAGTTAATTTGCAAAGGACTTCAATCTTAAAGATACTATGATTAATATGTCTTTTTTTTTTTTTTTTTCTTGAGACACAGTCTTGCTATGTAGCTCTGGTTGTCCTGGAACTCACTGTGTAGACCAGGCTGGCTTCAAACTCACAGATCCTGTCTCTGTCTCCCAAGAACTGGGATTAAAGGCATGGCCTTGCCTGTCTAGTTTTTCTTGAATAATCTTTGAGATGTCTTCTTGCCTTCTAGAGAGTGTTTAGTAGATTTTTATAACTTTAAAGGAAGATTTTTTTTTTAATCGGGGTGGGGTGAGGTATGTGTAGGTGCCTGTGGAGACCAGAGACATCAGATCTCTGGAGCTGTATTTAAGTTGTTTGAACTACCTCAAGTGGGTGCTGGGAACCAAGAGTCTCTGTAAGAACAGTACAGCACTCTTAACCAATGAGCCAATTCTCAAGTTCTTATAACTCTTAAATTTTTCTTTAAAGGTTTATTTATTATGTATACAGTGTTCTGCCTGCATATATGCCTGTAGGCCAGAAGAGGGCACCAGATCTCATTATAGATGGTTGTGAGCCACCATGTGGTTGCTGGGAATTGAACTCGGGACCTCTGGAAGAGCAACCGGTGCTCTTAACCATTGAGCCATCTCTCCAGCCCCCAAAAAGATATTTGTTTACCATATATATTTTTTCATAAGTTGAAAAATGCGAGAAAGATAAGATTAGAATGGTGGGGATAGTGAGAAAGGATGCATAATCAGTCATATAGTGATAGTATTTGGATTATTCTTTTGATATGGAGAATATTGTCGTTGGCCTGGCAAATAACTGACAAGGACATACAAGGGCCTTTTTGGGTTGTTTATTTTCCAAGGTGATTTTTCTGTGTGGCTCTCGCTGTTTTAGAACTAGCCCTATAGACCAGGCTGGCCTCAGTTGAACTCCAAAGATCCTCTTGCCTCTTCCTTCAGAGTGCTGGGACTAAAGGTTTGCGTCACCACCACCTGACCCGGGGATTTGGGGTTTTATCAAGACTGTCTTTGAAATGTCAGCCACAAAAGGGATTTGTGTGTGGTAGTTAATTCAGTCTCCAAGGCTTTTTTTTTTTTTTTTTTAAATGACATTTATTGTGGATTTTAGCAGCTAACATTTGGAAGCAGTGTCTGGGCAGAACATAAAATTCTAGAGTGCTTAGCAGGGTTTCATGCTTGAGGCAATTTGGGACTTTTAATCCACTACTGTTGGATACGGCGAATTGATTGGATCTGAGAAGTCTGGGCATGAGATCCCCACTCTCTCCAGTGTTTGTAGTCTCCTCCATGATGGTCACATTCCAAGATATACTGATAACCACGATATCCAGGATACTGGTAGCAAACCCAGCTAGGAAATTCAAAGCACATTGCATTATTAAATCTAAGAACTGGACATGTACCCCCAAACCTGAATCTTTTGCCCCTCAACACAGTGGTATCGGGGGTACTTAGGAAACAAGTCATTCTTAACATGTTAGGCACTGTTACTGTGCATAGTATGGCTACAGAAGATTAGCCTTAATCATGAAAAAGTGTCAGTAGTCTATAAAAGCTTTTACAGAGATACTTAGTGGAAGGAAATTGAACAAATGGTAGCTGGAGCAAAGAATTCTAGGTCGGTATTAATATGCCAGTGTATGGAATCTAGTAAACCATGACCCTGGATGTCTTAATAGTCACATGTCTTAGAAATATAGGAATTGCTTTGAAATGTCCTCCAGCTCTGTTTTTGTACTTACGCCCCACATTGTATCTTCATTGAACCAACTTCATTGTTGAACCAACCCATGGCTTGTAAGGAAGGATAGTCATCACAGATCTCCCACTGGCGTCCAATAAAGTTCTCTTTCTCAAAGATGGTAATCTTAGACTCTTTATGATTCTATAATCCAGAAGTTAAAACCTTAGTAGTGCCGTTATTCTATTGCTATTTTTTCCCTAAAAATTGAAACACTATTTCTTGCCTACAGAAATGCATGATCGTTGACAAGATTCAGGCTAAACAGGAATGTGTAAGAAAAACCCTAGCCGGGTGGTGGTGGCGCACACCTTTAATCTCAGCACTTGGGAGGCAGAGCCAGGCAGATCTCTTGAGTTGAAGCCAGCCTGGTCTTACAGAGATCCAGGACAGGCGTGCACACACACACACACACACACACACACACACACACACACACACACACTGCACACACACACACACACCCTGCTGGGTGATCATGGTGCACGCCTTTATTCCCAGCACTCTGGAGGCAGAGTCAGGTGGATTTCTGAAGCCAGCTTTGTCACAGAGCTAGTTCCAGGACAGCCAAGGAAGGGTATACAAAGAAACCCTGTCTCAAAACAAGAAAAATCCATAATTCTATTTAACCCAAATCAAAGATTATCTTTGCACTTAATATAAGACAGTGTAAGGCAAAGATACATTTAAAAAAATAGCTATACATAGCCACTTGGTTATTTGGTACTGCTGTAATCTAATCCAGGGCCTCATCCATGCTGTGCAATTGTTCTACCTACTGCCCTAGCATGATCTCACAGATTCAAACACTAATTATGTTCAGTACATGTCTGCATGCATTTATGTTTCTAGTAACCTCCCCAGTAAAGTACATGATTTAGGTTTAGAGGTATTAATATCTAAACTAGAAATAATAAGAGAATATATGGAAAGCTTCTAGCCCAGACAAATGTCACTCCCAATATCGATACCATTTTCAACTCTTAGAAATCTTAAGTGTTGGTCTGTTTCTGCTTAAACTTTTTTATTCAAAGGTTCCTGTGTACCCTAGACTGGCCTCAGATTCAAGCTTGTCTTCAAGTTTCTTGGGTGTTAGAGTTAACAAGTATATACCACCATGCCCATCTCTCTCAAAGCCTAATGCACCCTGATTGAGGCATCCATTTTCAATTGGGGTCACCACGTTGGAGGGGGGAACATGTGGAGATTGGGGACTGAAGCAGGCAGTACCTGCACACCCTATTCCTGAACTAAAATGTGATTTGTTTATGGACAGCTGCTATGAACTGCCTTTGACATTTTCAGATGCATATTTCTGCCATTCTTTCTGCCTGCGATAATCTACCTCACCATAACCCCTAAACAGTCACTGGAAACAGACTAAAAGCATGAGCTGAAAGAAAACTTTGTCCATTTAAATCATGTCAGGTACTTCCATCAACAATGAGAAAATGGCAACACAAAAGTTCTTTCAAAATTAGAAAAAAAAATGACCATTTGGCTAGTTCAGTTATATCCTAAATGAGAGCTTAATGGAAAGTTGGGTATTGTCAAGGGACTGAAAGAAAATAATGCGTTTCTGCCTATGTTTAAGGAAGGAAATTACTCTTTTTAAATGTGGCCAAGTAGTGCAAGGAATATTTAATTACAGTGAAGTAGTTCATATGTTCTCAGAAACAGATTAGGAATAAATGCTTCTTCCCCATTTACACATAGTATAGCTCACAAGGATGTTAATTGTTACATCATTTTAAAAATAGACTTGGCCGGGCGCTGGTGGCGCACGCCTTTAATCCCAGCACTCGGGAGGCAGAGGCAGGCGGATCTCTGTGAGTTCGAGGCCAGCCTGGTCTCCAAAGTAAGTTCCAGGAAAGGCGCAAAGCTACACAGAAAAACCCTGCCTCAAAAAAAACCCCCAAAAACTAAAAATAGACTTACAGTTTTATCTTCAGATTCAATTTAGAATGCAGCCTAATGCATTGTTAAGTAATGCTTGGTGTTAAAACCTTAGTTATTGATGCAAATAAGCAATACTAGAAGACCTGCCTACTTTAGTTTGTACTTGTTGAAGACGTACTTAAGCCTCACGCTGTTTCTTCAGTTAAATCTTAACACATTGCAATTTACCTGGCCATAAATTGACTTTGTATTACATGGTAAGTGCTTTCTCATTGGTTGTCCCATAGCACTTCAGGTCTTGAGTATGTGCTTCCTGCCTCTGTGGTTCCTTTTTAGCATAAGGGGGAAATCGAATCATAGATGTGAAGGAAGGGAACAGTGTTGTTATTCTTTACTTTCATCCTCCCTGTTACATTCAGCATAGTTAACAGAAGCAACACAATGTCAGTCTGACCTCATCCTTCTTTACCCCACTCACATGCAAAAAAAAAAAAATGAAATTTCAAACTCACAGCCGAACAGATGGGGCGGAAGGACATGAGACGCTCAATATGGTAGGCATTGCTCCCACTCCAGGCATCCCATCGAGGGTATTCGCCTCTCTCCAGGATAAACTGTTGTCCACAGAAGCTGGTATGCTCGTAACCAATCCAGCTGCCAAAGATAGGTAATGGTATATGGCCTTGGAGAGAAGGCCTCTCTTGTTTTAGATGAGTTTATAGTGGGATAAAATATCAAGTCAATCACAAAGCCCTAGGTAATGAACGCTCATGACTTTGTATCGAACCAGTTTGTAAATAAATTTTGAAATTACCCGCTGAAGATTCTCTTGTCTAGTAGTGTATATTAACAAAGCTCTGTTTCCATTCTAGTGACCTGGAAGTATAGATTGATGATGATCCAGTGACCATTTCTTTGGCTCTAGATCTTGTAAGCCTCTTCCTAAGAGAGCAAAAGTATGATGGAATGGGTATCTGTGTTTGTTTCTTTGTTACTTTGAGGGTTCTTCCTCTTGCTGTCCATACTTATACCTTCTTAATGGAGCATTCTAGTTAAGTTGTTAACTGAATCTTATTTATTGAAGCTATCTTAAAAGTGTTGCCTGTATAAAAAGGGCTGAGGATCTCTGTTTTGGCATAGAGCAGCTTGTGAAAGCTTGGTCACATGCAAAGCCACTTCTTCATAGACCAACAAGAGTACTAATGTGAGTTCACACTTAGGCCAGCTTGCCAAGAATCAGAATACAAAAGCCAGAAAATCTCTCTCACCAAGATTAACTATGTCTCTGGATCCTTGAGATTTCATTCCTTTTAATAAGGAAATTAGCTAACAGTGTCTGCTCTGGGACATCTGTTTGTATGCCATAAAAAGTCTGTCACTCAGGAATTTCCCTTCAAGCCAGGTGGGAATCCCAGCACTCTGGAGGCAAGGCAGGTGGAGCTCTTGAGTTTGAGGCCAGACTGGTTTACAGAGCCAGTTCCAGGATAGCCAAGGCTACACAAAGAAACCCTGTCTCAAAAAAAAAAAAAAAAAAAAAAAGGAAAGAAAAAATAATTCCCCTCTCCCTATTTTCTATGGGCAAGAAAAACAGTCTTCTGTGACTGTTCTGAAGAAATCAAAAGAAGTGGCCTATGGACTTCAAAAGTACAGATTCAATCACTGTCACTGTCCTGCCCTGTTGCAAGTCTACTACCAAGATATGAACATCATTCCTAGCTTTCAGTTACTTAATTAGGCATGTAGCAATTTCCTCTAGGAAATAAGACACCTCTCCCTAAGAAGTGATTAGCATCTGGGGAACATCTTCCTATATCCTGACTCATGGTCCTATGTCTAAAGAGACCTGAAAAAGGCCTGAAGCTCTTTTGGTGACCATACTCACGCGCCACACTCCACCTTGAGGGACCGGACATTATCAAAACTACGCTCAGAGACATTTGGGCAGGAGCTGGTGAACTCCATCCTCTTGCCCTGGAAATTCTCCTGATCATAGATGGTTATCTGAAGTGGATTGAAATGGGACAAGAAAGAGAACCGGGTGCAGCAGTAAGAATAAAGGTGCAAGTTTGTATTTATCCTGTAATTTTCATTACTAGCCACAACCCAGGATGCCTGATGAGGTCTCTTCCAGTATAGACAAGGCAAAAAGGGGTTCAAATTAGTACCACTGCTCAGTGTCATGTTCAGGCTAAGTTTATGATAAGAATGGTCTTTCAGGATCAATGGAAAGCTCAATTGACAACTCTGATTCCACCGAGTGTCCTGCACCCATATGACCCAGAGGCCAGGATTCTACGACTCCTAGAAGTACCCTGTGGATTATTTCTTTTCTTCTAAAATATAAAGGGGTTGTGATAAATCTTTTGTCTTTTGCACTAGAACTTGGCTCCTTACCTGGCAAGCTCCCAAAACTGTGAACTTGCCTCAGAGCTGTCCAATGAGGAAAGGATTAAGTGTTAGGGAAACAGTGAAAGGCCTGGGGTCTGCCATTTCAGCTCATGGCTAAATCCACCCTCCCTCAGTCTGAGTAGGGAGCCTGGATCTCATAGCTTGTTTGGGATCTAATGGTGGTATCTCCCACCCATCATGGACATCCAGGGTCACCCATCATGGAAGCCTTCCAGCAGTGTCTGGATGTTGGATGGACTTTCCTCCTACAGAACAGTATTTTGTTGGATGGGAACTGTCAAAGAATAAGTGCAGCCTTGTAGCTCCTATGTAGCAGCACCTCAGCCCTGCCTGTTGGATCTTTCCATGTGATTGGATCAGCTTACCTTCCATGGCCCCAAGGACCCTGGCATAGGATTGGTCTGAGCCATCTTGGTGGTTGGAAGAGTTTCTGGAAGACATACACATCAGTGATAAGGCTTTCAGGATGGGCGTAGTGAGGTAAGAAGGCACAGGAGAAAGGAAAAGAGGCTTGAGGTCCCAGAATTTGTTTGAGATCCTGGCTCTGGTGCTCCTACCCAAACCTTAGGTTTTCCATCAACAGACCTTTCACACGCAGTCACTGTAAAAATGAGGACAGTGATGCAGATGGAGGACTGCAAAGGCATTTGGACCTCTTGATAAGTGTGCCCTCTGTCCTCTTGCTCACCTTCAATGAACAACACTGCCTGTGTCTTACACACCCTGGTATCAGCTCCCTGACAACTGTTTAGACTCCACACATCTAATCATTCAGGCAGAAGGGTCAGAATTCCCCACCTTCCTTGCCCCGATTAAAAGGCAGCCTGTACTGGGATCCTTCATGGTCTTTCCAACACCCAAATTGACCCATTAATTCTGTATGTCCACCCCACCACTCCCTCTCTGTCTGCCAGACCTAGCTGTTTTGACCTTGCTGTCTTCTCCAGCCTGCAGATTTTGAGTTCTCCCTCACTTCCCAGACCTGCTCACAGCACTCATCTGTGTCATTCTTAGCTATGTACTGGGTGAGCATCTCAATAGCAGGGATGGCACCTCCTGGATGATTGATACAGCACCACGCCAAAGCTGTGGTTAGATGGGGAATAGGGTAATTTGAAAAAGACTTACTGAAGCCAGGCTTGGTGGTGTGGACTTTCAATGCCTGCTACTTGAAATGGTGGGTAGGAGGATTGCAAGTTCAAGATCTACTTGGACAATTTAATGAGACTGTCTCAAAATAAAAAGTAAGGACTATGAGTTCCAAGCTAGCTAGGGCTACATCGTGAGACCAGTTCTCAAAGTGGGTGGGGAGAGGGTGGAGGGTAGTCTTGGAGGCTGGGGATATAGCTCAGTACTAGAGTGTTTGCCCAGCATGTGTGAACCATTAGACTTAATGCCTAGTACTCTGTGTGTGTGTGTGTGTGTGTGATGAAGAATGGGTAATTATACAAATACAATGATAGTTCACTCTATGTCAGATCCTGCTTTACTTGCATTAATATATCTAGGCCTCACAAGTTAAATACCATCACCACCCCATTTTATGAATGAGGACCATAGAGGTTGAGTAGTCATCGTTGATGGTATAATGAGAAGGATAGAGGAAGGAGAGGGAAGAAAGAAAGAAGACAGGTAGGTATATATCGGGTTTCTAGACTCAGAACCGACATTCAGGATTCTACCCTCGTATCCAGCCCAGGAAGTAACACACAAAAATTCTGGCATTTCTGTTGGAGCCTCCAAATAAGAAGCATCTCCTGCCCATTACACCCCTCTGTGCCCAATAACCTACTTCTTTCTTACTGATCCCCAGTCTTAATTTCTAGGCATGTGGTTATTGCCATATGGGTGACTCCTCAAGGTAGCAAATGAAGCTGTTCACTGAGCAAAGTCCCCCGCTTTCTCTGCCTCTAGGCAGGAGACAACCGGGTCTTCCTCTGCATTTGTCTCTTGGGGGAAAGGAAGGAAAGACAAAGGCACCTCCGGAGTCTCACTCACCCAGCTCCCGCTGCACAGTCTGGGTCTCCATCTGGTGCCACATCCTCTGCAGATCCCTCTTTATACTCCTGCAGCTGGTGGCCAATGGCTCGGTCAGCACTCTCTTTTCCCTCTCTCTTTGTTTCTCCTGATCCCCAGAGCTTTAGTGGCTCAGCCTCCTGGGGGAGGTGTCCCTCCGAGCTTTGTCTAGGGTATAGAAGTGCAGAGGCCCTATATTGGGCAGGACTGGCTGCCTAGGGGGCTCTTCTCAGAGCATCTGGGGGCTGAGGACAGAAGTTCTACCAAACACACCAAAGGACCATATATGTGTGTGTGTGTGTGTGTGTGTGTGTGTGTGTATGTATATTTTTTCCATAAATGTGAAAGTAAAGCTGGGCAATGGTGGCACACACCTTTAATCCCAGCACTCGGGAGGCAGAGGCAGGTGGATCTCTGTGAGTTCGAGGCCAGCCTGGTCTACGGAGTGAGTTCCAGGACAGCCAGGGCTACACAGGGAAACTCTATCTCAAAAAATGAAATAAAGCCGGGCGGTGGTGGCGCACGCCTTTAATCCCAGCACTCGGGAGGCAGAGGCAGGCGGATCTCTGTGAGTTCGAGGCCAGCCTGGGCTACCAAGTGAGTTCCAGGAGAAGCGCAAAGCTACACAGAGAAACCCTGTCTCGAAAAAACCAAAAAAAAAAAAAAAAAAAAAAAAAAATGAAATAAAATAAATAAACAAAGTGAAAGTATTCTTACGAAACTGAGCATTGTTGGGAAAACAACTGTTTTCAAAACTCCTTGTTCTGTTTTTCTCTATAGGATCTGAGTTTAGTTACAATTTATATGTAGGTCTAGATCTCACCCTGTTTTATTAAGTATTCATTTTAATATTGCAGTTTGCTTTAAAGATTTTGGAGCCAATAACCTTGAGGATTTTTTGTTGTTGTCACTTTGTGTCTGTGTGTGTGTTTACATTAGTTACTTACTCTGTGTGTGTGTGTGTGTGTGTGTGTGCACTCTCAAGCTTGCATGCTGAAGTCAGATGACAACTTTCAGGAGTCAGTTCTCTTTCCACCGTGCAGGTTCTGGGGATCAAAATCAAGTCATTCAGCTTGGCAACAAATACATTTGCACACTGAATTCTGTTGCCGGCTGTGTGGGTTTTTGTTTTTTTTTTTTTTTTTTATTTTGTTTGTTTGTTTTTTAAGGCAATGTCTTACACTGTAGCCCAGGCTGACCTTCAGTTCAAGGCAACCCTACCTTACCCTCCAGAACGATGGAATTAACAGGCGTGTACTCAATCCTTTTTAAAACACGGGTGCGTATGTTACCTGCATGTTTGTGCATTACTTTTGTGCCCGGTACTCATGGAAGCCAGAAGAGGATATTGGATCTCCCAGAACTGGAGTTACAGATGGTGTGAATTGCCACATGGGTGCTGGAAATCAAACCTGGGTTCTCTAGAAGAATAACCAGTGCTCTTAACTCCCGAGCCGTCTCTCTGTCTCTCTTTCCCCCATCTCTTTTTAAAACATTAAAAAAAAAAAAAAAAAAAAGCTTTTGGTACATTTTTTGTGTATTTATTTGTGTGTGTGTGTGTGTGTGTGTGTGTGTGTGTGTGTGTGTGCATGGTGCTCATGTTGGGGTCAGAGGATGTCTTGTGAGAGTCGGTTCTCTCCTTCCACCGTGTGGGTTCCAGGGATAACTCAGTGGTGGGACTTGGCCGCAAGCCTCTTTACCTGCTGAGCCATCTTGCTGCCCCTCCCCATTTCCTTTTCATCCTCTTTTTTTCTCCCTTCCAGACTACCATTTTAGGAAAATACTTCTTTGGTCAATCGTTCCTTCTTTCATTCCCTAATCCCTCTACTGGCTTAGATAGTCTCACCTTGTAGAAATTTCTTTAGAAAGTAGATATACTGGGATCCAAAGATCGGAACTGCAGTTTAGAACAAAATTAAAACAGTTCTTTTTGAAAATAAATAATCACATAACTGCTGCTTCTACTTAGCTTGGTAAATACATTTTGAACAAATGAATGAGTTCTACGACTCTGGAGGAGGCACAGATGAAAATGTGTCTCCAATGCTATAAGTACCCTGCTGTGCACAGTCCACTCATCCAGCCATAGCACCCTGCCTGGGCTGTCTGTGATTTTTTTTTCCACTCTCAGGATTTTTTTTTTTTATTGTTGTTGTTGTTGTTGTTCGAGACAGGGTTTCTCTGTGTAGCTTTGCGCCTTTCCTGGAACTCACTTGGTAGCCCAGGTTGGCCTCGAACTCACAGAGATCCGCCTGGCTCTGCCTCCTGAGTGCTGGGATTAAAGGCGTGCGCCACCTCCGCCCCGTTGGATTTTTTTTTTTTAAGATTTTCTTTTTATTATATATACAGAGGAGGGTGCCAGATCTCATTACAGATGGATGTGAGCCACCATGTGGTTGCTGGGAATTGAACTCAGGACCTCTGAAAGAGCAGTCAGTGTTCTTAACCTCTAAGCTATCTCTACAGTCCCCTGATTTGATTTTTTTTTTTAATGAGCCAAAATTTCTATTTATTCATTTCTTGCACTTGAAGTACTCTTCAGTGCCATCCTTGGCCTGAGAATCTTTGCCATAGTCCTTAAGCACTCCACAACGGCAGCCAACCACTTTCCATGGTTTCCCCGCTCGGTCGGTAATAATTTTACAGGTGAGTAAACTGAGGGATGGGTACCAGGGCCTACCCATTCCCCTAGCTTCTTTTTTTTTTTCTTTCTTTTTTCATTTTTTTTTTTTTTTTTTCAAGACAGGGTTTCTCTGTGTAGCTTTGCGCCTTTCCTGGAACTCACTTGGTAGCCCAGGCTGGCCTCGAACTCACAGAGATCCGCCTGCCTCTGCCTCCCGAGTGCTGGGATTAAAGGCGTGCGCCACCACCGCCCGGCTCCCCTAGCTTCTTGTTGTTATCAACCTTAATTAGGTTGATTTGGTGCTCAGCACAAAGGGCTCCACCGACTTGACATATGTAGGCTCACCACAGCTGGATGCTAGCACACAGAGACGGGCTTGGCGCTTTGGCAGCTTCGTGGATGCCGCATGCTAGGCCATTGGGTGAGGGCGGTCTTCAGCACCTCTTGTAGAGCAGTATTGGCGTCCATTACACCCCCAGCAGCAAAGCCTTCCTCGGCCTTGGCGGTGTATTACACCTCCACCTCTGCGCAACCGTGACAGCAGGGGAGATCACTCAGGCTCTTTGGGGCGAGTTTTATATTGTAGTGAATTGTTGGTTCAATAAAGACTGGTTTGGCTAATTTTTCATTTCAGAGGGAGAAATGGAGGCTTTTAGGATTGACTGAAAAGCCCAGCACATGAACAAAACTACAGCATGGGAGATTGTGTGTGGATCAGTCAGCATGCAAACCATTGACATATGTCCACTGAGTGTTGCTAGAGTTACAGGCAGCCTAAGCTGCCACCTCAACCCAGCACCCACATCATTTTCTTCTATCACCTTATGTCCCAGAAACTTGAGGATTGTGAGGTCTCTTGTGATGATTACCAAGCTTTCAGATGACCTGATATGGGGGCTTGAAGAGCTTTTGTTTCTTTTACGGTGCTGGGAATCAAACCCAGGGCCTAAAACATGTTAGACCAGCACTTGGCCCTGAGCCACGCCTCCAGTCTCTTTATGGGACTCTTCACAAAGATGCAGAACATTCTTTCTCCTTCTCCTTCCTTGTTGTCTGTGACTCTGCTTTGCCTGTCCTGCATGAGACATGACCTCGAAGCTCCAGGTCCTATCTCTTTCCGGGGAAGTTAGAGCATAGGCTACCCAAGGAGTGGAATGAATGGAAACCAGTTTGCAATCCCTTTGCAGACTAGACATCACACTTTCCCGTTCATCCTTAGTAACTACAGCATATAGAACATTGACCGTGAGTCTGACAAGTCATTCCCGATCCTCAGGACAACCCCATGAAGAAGGTCAATGCTGCAATAATTTTTACAGGTGAGTAAACTGAGGAATGGGGAGCCTAGATTGTAAGTAAAGAAACCTTTTTTCCTCTCTGGTCTGGCACCTGGCTTTGGATGGTCACTGCTGGGCCACCTCCAGCTGTCCAATGAGGAAGTTGAAGTGATTGAGGCAGTGTATGGTACTCAGAACTCAGCAAATCGTAACCGTTTCATTAATGGTGCCAAATAAGATGCCATCTTATGCTTAGGTCTCATAAAGACAAGTAGAAGCAGGCAACAGACTTTAGAAAAAAGTGTGTCCGAGAGATGTTTTCTTTGAGCTGGGAAAGGCCACATTTATTCAGTTTTCATTTCCAGTGGCTCTCTTTATTATTTGTAGTGCATTCTATTAACCCCCTGCCCCCGTGTCTTCACTCAGCCTTGCCCCCCTCCCCACCCCCATGATACCTATGCACGTGCACTGGGGATGAAACCCAAGAGACTCGAGCACGCTCCAACCCCTAGCACTTGTCGGGCTAGTTTTCTGCAGCTCTGTCAGAGACATGGATTGGGGAACATGTTCTTAGCCCCCACACTCACTGGACAAGCAAGGGGAACAACTGTCCAATGAGATGAGCTATTAGATGCGGGGGTGATGACTGACGGGGGATATGACAGCCCTCCCCCTCCAAAGTGTCAGCTGGGCAGTTTAAAGCTTGGACCTCTTGACACTTTGGCCACATGCCAGGGATGGTTGGTGCTCAACTGAATTTTATGGGTGGTTTGTCCCCCTGGCCTTGCCTCTGGGCCCAGGGGTAGGGGAGTGAGGCCGTGGGGCCAGGGAAGCCCTTGGACTCAGCACATTGTGGAGAGGACAATGGGGCTAGCCAGGCAGCTGAGCAGCGCTTCTGTTGGACACAGCAGGAAAGGTACAAAGCAAAGGGCCCGTCAGCATTCAGCCAGCTCCTACCTCCCTTACAAGGGCCTCCTCTGGGGGACCTTTTCTCCCCTGTCCCTTTCTACCTCTTAAAACAGGAAGGAGAGCTGGGACCTGGCTGATTCTGAAAAGGCTAAGAAGGCTAACTGTAGCAGAGAACTTGGGAGACATCTCAAACTTCCGGGATCATCCTCTGCTTCCAGGCATAGAGAGCTGGATGTCCATTGAGCAGAGAACTCCAAGGCTGGCTTCTTTCATTTGAGACAAGCTTTGGAGCATTTCAGTTCAGTGGAGCCTCACAGACTTCTCAGTCTGCAGACGGGCCCATTTCCTCCTAAGAGAATCCCTAAAGCTGATACAGTAAATGGGTGTCTAGGTAGAACATGTCCTATGCATGACACGACCTACTCTCTACTCCTGACAAGCAGAGGTAGATTGCTCCTTGCTTAGGGCTGCCTGCCTGGAGGAGGACTTCAGACAACCAGTTAAATTTCAACTTCAGATCAACAATAAATGCATTAGGAGAAAGAGGTCCCAGACTTACTACGTTTTTTGTTTGTTTTCCAAGACAGGGTTTCTCCGTGTGCTCCTGTCTTGGAACTCACTCTGTAGATCAGGCTGGCTTTGAACTCACAGAGATCTGCCTGCCTCTGCTTTCAGA